GTATGAATTTTGAATGAGAAATTAACTTGAGCTGTAAACTTTCATCTAAAGCACAATAAAAAATTAATTAAAAAAATACTCAGCATAATATCTGCATATAATATGCATGTAATGATAGCTGTTACAATAATGGGAAGGTCCCTAGGTGATGAAAACACTTTGCACTCAACTGCTAACCTAAAGGTTGGTGGTTCAAACCCACTGTAAGTACCACTGAAAAAAAGGCCTAGTGATCTGCTTCAGTTAGGATTACATCCAAGAAAACCCTATAGAGCAGTTCTACTCTGTAACACATGAAATAACCATGAGTTGGAATCAACTTGATGGCAACTAACAACAATTACTTAATGGAGTCCCCAGGTGGCATAAATGGTTAAGTGCTTAGATACTAACCAAAAGGTTGGCAGTTTGAACACACCCAGAGGCACCTCAGAAGAAAGCCCTGGTGATCTGCTCCTGAAAGTTGAAAGCCCCACGGAATGCAGTTCTCCTGTAACACATGGGGTCACCATGAGTTGGAATGGACTCAACGGCAACTGGCTTTTATTATAATAATAATGATAATATAAATAACATTAACTGTCAGTTTGTCATACTGTTGTGCCTTGAATGTTGCTGTGATGCTGAAAGCTACACCACTGGTATTTCAACACCAGCAGGGTCACACATGGTGGACAGGTTTCAGTGGAGCTTACAGACTAGGAAGAAGGACATGATGATCAACTGCTGAAAAAAAAATTAGCCAATGAAAACCTTATGAATAACAGTAGAACATTGTCTAATATGCTGCTGGAAGATGAACCCCTCAGGTTGGAAGGCACTCGAAATATGACTGGGAAGAGTTGCCTCCTCAAAGTAGAGTTGACCTAAATAACATGAATGGGGAAAAGCTTTCAGGACCTTCATTTGCTGATGTGGCACGGCTCAAAATGAGAAGAAACAGCTGCAAACATCAATTAATAATTGGAATGCGGAATGTACGAAGTATGACTCTAGGAAAATTGGAAATCATCAAAAATGAAATGGAACGCATAAACATCGATATCCTAGGCATTAGCAAGCTGAAATGGACTGATGTTGACCATTTTGAATCCAACAATCATATTCTTCTATGCTGGGAATGACAACTTTAAGAGAAATGGCACATTCATCGTCAAAAAGAACATTTCAAGATCTATCCTGAAGTACAATGCTGTCAGTGATAGGATAATATCCATATGCCTACAAGGAAGACCAGTTAATACAACTATTATTCAAATTTACCCACCAACCACTAATGCCAAAGATGAAAAACTTGAAGATTTTTACCAGCTTCTGCAGTCCGAAATTGATCGAACATGCAGTCAGGATGCATTGATAATTATTGGTGATGGGAATGCAAAAGTTGGAAACAAAGAAGAAGGATCTGTAGTTGAAAACTATGGCCTTGGTGATAGAAACAGTGCTGGAGATTGCATGAGAGAATTTTGCAAAACCAATAACTTCTGCATTGCAAATACCTTTTTTCAACAACATAAACAGCAACTATACACATGGACCTCTCCAGATGGAATATATAGGAATCAAACTGAGTGCATCTGTGGAAAGAGATGATGGAAAAGCTCAATATCATTAGTTAGAACAAGGTCAGGGGCCAACTGTGGAACAGACCATCAATTGCTCATATAAAAGTTCAAATTGAAGCTGAAGAAAATTAGAACAACTCCACGAGAGCCAAAGTACAACCCTGAGTATATCCCACCTGAATTTAGAGACCATCTGGAGTAGATTTGACATGTTGAACACTAATGACCGAAGACCAGACGAGTTGTAGAATGACATCAAGGACATCATACATGAAGAAAGCAAGAGGTCATTAAAAAGTCAGGAAAGAAAGAAAAGACAAAAATGAATGTCAGAAGAGACTCTGAAACTTTTGAACATTGAGTAGCTAAAGCAAAAAGAAGAAATGCTGAAGTAAAAGAACTGAACAGAATATTTCAAAGGGCAGCTCGAGAAGACAAAGTAAAGTATTACAATGACATGTGAAAAACCTGGAGTTAGAAAACCAAAAGGGAAGAACACACTTGGCATTTCTCAAGCTGAAAGAACTGAAGAAACAATTCAAGCCTCGAGTTGCAATATTGAAGGATTCTATGGGGAAAATATTAAACATTGCAGGAAACATCAAAAGAAGGTGGAAGAAATACACAGAGTCACAAGACCAAAGAGAATTGGTAGACGTTCAACCACTGCAGGAGGTAAGCATATGATCAGGAACCGATGGTGCTGAAGGAAGAGGTTCCAGTTGCACTGAAGGCATTGGAGAAAAACAAGTCTCCAGGAATTGATGGAATACCAATTGAGATGTTTCAACAAATGGATGCAATGCTGGAAGCACTCACTTGTCTATGCCAAGAAGTTTGGAAGACAGCTACCTGGCCAAATGACTGAAAGAGATCCATATTTGTGCCCATTCCAAAGAAAGGTGATCCAACCAAATGTGGAAGTTATTGAACAATATCATTAATATCACACACGAGTAAAATTTTGCTGAAGATCATTCAAAAGCTGTTGCAGCAGTACATCAACAAGGAACTGCCAGAAATTCAAGCCAGATTCAGTAGAGGATGTGAAACCAGGGATATTATTGCTGATGTCACATGGATCCTGGCTGAAAGCAGAGAATACCAGAAAGATGTTTACCTGTGGTTTACTGACTGCAAAGGCATTTGACTGTGTGAATCATAACAAATTATGGATGACATTGTGAAGAATGGGAATTCCAGAACACTTAATTGTGCTCAAGAGGAACCTCCACATAGATGAAGAGGCAGTCATTCGAATAGAACAAGGGGATACTGAGTGGTTTAAAGTCAGGAAAGGTGTGTGCCAGGGTTGTGTCCTTTCACCATACTTATTCTATCTGTATGCTAAGCATATAATCCGAGAAGCTGAACTATATGAAGAAGGGCGAGGCATCAGGATTGGAGGAAGATGCATTAACAACCTGCGTTATGCAGATGACACAGCCTTGCTTGCTGAAAGTGAAGAGAACTTGAAGTACTTACTGATGAAGATTAAAGACCAGTATGGATTACACCTCAACATAAAGAAAACAAAAATCCTCACAACTGGACCAATAAGCACCATCATGATAAACAGAGAAAAGATTGAAATTGTCAAGGATTTCATTTTACTTGAATCCACAATCAACACCCTTGGAGTTAGAAGTCAAGAAATCGAACAACTCATCGCATTGGGCAAATCTGCTGCAGAAGACCTCTCTGTAAAGTGTTAAAAAGCAAAGATGTCACCTTGAAGACTAAGGTTCGCCTGACTGAAGCCATGGTGTTTCCAATCGCCTCATATGTGTGGGAAAGCTGGACAATGAATAAGGAAGACCAAAGAAGAATTGCAGCCTTTGAATTATGGTGTTGGCAAAGAATATTAGTGTACCATGGTCTGCCAAAGAATGAACAAATTTGTCTTAGAAGAAGTACAACCAGATTGTTCCTTAGAAGTAAGAATGACGAGACTTCATCTCATATACTTTGGACATGTTATCAGAGAAGGACATCATGCTAGGTAAAGTAAAGAGTCAGGGAAAAAGAGGAAGACCCTCAACGAGATGGACTGACAACAGTGGCTGCAACAATGGGCTCAAGCATAACAACGATCATGAGAGTGGCACAAGACCAGGCCTTGTTTCGTTCTGTTGTACATAGGGTCGCTATGAGTCAGAACTGACTCAAAGGTACCTAACAACAATAACATATTTTCTAGGGTGTTCTGGAGAGTACTTTCTTCATGTCTTAGGGCTCTGAACATCCACTTTGAGGATCTGAGGTTACTCTTCTTACTCTAGATCCTTAATTACATTACTGTCTTTTGTAATAAACACAGGTACTTTTTCCCCAAGAAGATTGCATTACCATAATTTTTAAAGGTGTCAATAGTCAAAGGAAACCAAAGGGAGAAGAGGCAAATTAGATTCTATTGGATATTCTATAGGGTAGTTGCCCAAATTTAGATAGTAAAATCATCAGGGGCTAGTTAATATCAGGAGGTTGTAATATCCTTTTTGTAAGTATTTTTGTAATGTTCAGAATCTACATTTTCCTTGTGAGAAAGGCAATAATCAGCAAGTTTTTCCTTAATAATGCCTGTTACCTTTATTATGCACTTTTGAAGCCTTTTTTTTTTTCTTGTTTTTCACAACAACATAGGGAAACAAGTAGCATTGAGATTCTCATCACCTCCATTTTACTGATAAGAAAACTGAGGCTCGGTGCAGTTAAGATATTTACCTAAAGTCTTAAAGTCAGTAATTTTAAGGGAAAATAGAGTTGAAATTCAACTCTATGTTTTAACTTCCAATTCTGCATTTTTTGTTTTGTTTTTATTTTGTTTTTGCTGTATTATACAACCAAGTAAACCCAAACCAAACCTATTACCATCTAGTGGATTTCGCCTCATAGCTACTATAAGACAGAGTACAACTGACCCATAGAGTTTTCAAGGCTGTTATCTTTACAGAGGTAGACTGCCACATCTTTCTCCTATGGAGCAGCTGGTAGATTTGAACCAAGTAGACTGTGTTAAAGGAAGGAATGAAGGTTCTTTAGAAGAACTAGGAAGCTGAATAGTGTTACAGAAGCTACTGACAAAAAAATTGCTACAACCTTATTTGCCCTATGACCACGTTATTGTGTTTTTACTATCTTTTGATTTGCTGCCTTAACCTGGTTAGTTAGAAACTATATTTATATTTGTTATTTGCATAGGACCAAATGTAACAAATATCTGTATTTTTTATTTCTGGGAATATAGAGGCTTAGGTAAAATTAAACCTATGGTACTTGCTATAAGGTACCTTCCAATCCTGAAATTTTCTAATATCCAAAAACATGTATTTAAGTGTGTCGTACTTTCCTTATAATGCAGCACAGTTTATTAGCACTTAAACGGTCTCAGTACTTTACAGGGTAGTAAGTGTTCCACTTGCCCCCATTTTACAGATGGAGACATTAACATACAGAGAAGCTAACTTGCCGGAGGTCAGAGCAAGGTATTGGTGGATCCAGGGATAAATCTCAAGCCTCTTAACTCCTTGACCAGTTTTAGTCCATCGACTATGCAGCCTAGTGGTAAGTATCTTTTTTATGCTATCCTGAAGGTAAGATGGTTTAAAAGACCAAGCAAGGACTGAATTTAAAGAATTCCTTGTTACTAATTAGACCATTAATTGTTCTTTTCTTTATAGCCATGATGTCATTCATGTCATTGGCATGAATTTTCCAAGTTGGGAGAAGAGGTTGTAAGTTTTAATTTTTAAATACATAAAAAATTTCTATAACAGCTATCTTAGGGTTTTCCAGAGAAACAGAACCTGTATATAATTTATATATATAAATAATATAGAGAGTGTGTGTGTGTATAACACGCATACACACACACACACACACACACACACACACACACACACAGAGACAGATTTAAGGAATTGGCTCATGCAGTTGTGGGGCTGGCAAGTCCAAAATTCATAGGTCAGACAACAGGCTGAAAACTCCAGCATTCTTGTGTCTGAAATTGCTAGGCCAGGTAGCGGGCTGGAAATTCCAGCAGGATGTCTGTTTGCACTTGAGGCAAAATCTGTCTCCCTAGGGAAAAGTCAGTTTTTGCTCTTAAGGCCTTCAACTGATTGCATGAGGCCCACCCATATTGCATTGCCATTGAGTCTGGCTTTGCTGTCTTTACTGAAGTATTTTTTCCTAAATTGCATTGGTTGCTTTTGAGTATTGGTTTATTAATGATCTTGCAGCCTGTTACTACTTATCGTGGCTTCCTTGTATCAGTTTTGTGTATACTGGTAGCTCATCTTTACTTTAGCAATATAGTTTTACAATATAAAAACTTGTATATAAATGGAATATATATTACATGTTTAATTTTTAATAATAGGCTCTTCCTAATTATAAAAAATACTTGTGAAAAATTTTAAACATGAATTCAATTATCATCCCCTAATATCTTTTGTCTGTCAAAAAATTTTAAGCCAGACCTAGTTTCTAATTTTATTTAATTAATATTAATTTGAATTAATAAAGTTAGCTAAATTAACTAAGCAAACTTAATAAAGTATTAATTTTACTTTACTAATAATGTAGAGGAGAACAGACATAGCAGGTTACTAGAAAGACAGGGGACATCCAACCAGAAGGGAAAACAAACACTTGTTGGAATGCAACATTGACCAGGTGACAGGAGTATAGTGGATAAGGCAAGTCATACCAGACGAGATCAGAGAAGTGGGCAGGAGCTTTGTAAGTGGGCATGGCTTTGTAAGTCATCCTAACTCATTGGGACGCTATTGGAGGCCTTTATGCAGGAAAATGACATTATCCATTTTATATCTTAAAAGGCTTATTCTGACTTCTATGTGGAAAACAGATTGGAGTTGAGCAAGAGTAGAAGCAGGAATATAAGTTACGAGGCTGTTCTAATGGTCCAGGTGAGAGGTAGTGGTGACTTGAACTAGAGTGTGAGAAGTGAGATTAAGAGCAGTAGATGGATTGGGGATAGGGTCCAACAGAATCTACTGATAGATTGGATGTGAGCATAAAAGAAATAGATGCATCAAGGATAATTTGAGGACTTTTTGCTTGAGCAGCTAGGGTGATGGAGGTGCCATTTACTAGGTTGAGGAAGACTATAAGAGAAATAGATTAGCAGCTGGTGGTATCAAGGATTTTGTTTTAGCCATGTTAAATTTGAAATGTCTGAGTGATAACTATGTGGAGATGGCCCATAGGCAGTTGTATATGTGAATGTGGAATTCCAAGAAGGGGCCAGTGCTGGAAATATGAATTTGGGAGTAATATCAGTAGAGTGGTGAACAGAAAAATTCTATTTGAATGAGTTGAGGAGATAATGTGAGGGGAGGAAGTGAGGAGGCAATGACTGTAGACAACTCTTTGAATAAGTTTTTCCATTAAGGAGAACAGAGAAATGGAAATATGTAGCAGAAGGGATAAGTGTGGAAGAGGGTTGCAGGGAGAGGGGGAGGGTGGATGTTGTGTGTTTGGGGGATTTTTTTGGTGGGAGGTAATGGCGCAGTATGAATGCTGGTGCAAATGATCTATTAGAAAGGGGGTACTTGGAAAGTTCTTGAGAGTGAGAAGCAGTGGGATTTGGAGCAAAAATGAAGAGGTGACTTTTGATTTAAAAAAAAAAGACAAGGACACTTCATCCACAGTAATGGGAGGGAAGGCAGAGAGAATGAAGAATGAGTACATTCATTAATTCACCAAACATAAACTGAGCACCTGCTCTATACTAGGCACTAGATACACCATGGAGCCCTGGTGGCACAGTAGTGAAGAGTTCGGCTACTAACCAAGTTTGACAGTTCGAATCTGCCAGCTGCTCCTTGGAAACCCTATGGGGGCAGTTCTACTCTGTCCAATAGGGTCACTATGAGTCAGAATCGACTGGACAGCAATGGGTTAACAGGTTTTAGATATACCACTCAATAAGACCAAGTCCCCACTTTAATGAAATGAGAGGCACGTAGAAGGGTTCCTAGCCTTTCATTTCTGTTTTCTCAGTGAACCCTAAATTAAGATCATCCTCTAAGAGTGGGGTTGGGGAGGGAAAATGTGTATATATAAACTTTGAGTAGTGAGAAGAAGATAATGAAAATTTTTTGTTTGTTTTTGGAAAGTGAAAAGCAAACACAGTAGGGAAATGTGTGATTTCTGGGCAGCATTAAGCGGCATTTGGGAATTATAACTATGAGTTTAAAAAGTGAGACCAGTAGCTTGCATTTGTTTTCCTTCAACACTTTTGAGCTGCTGGGGTAGGCATGAGATAGGTGGATAATTGGCTTTAAGCAGAGTTAAGATTGAGGTTTTTCTAGGCAAGTTTAGCAAAAAAACGTGGAAGGGAGTTAAAAGTGTTTGCCAGGAGTAATTATAATGAGGCACCTTGGAATCTAAGCTGAGTAAGAAGAGAAGTGAAGACATAATGGGGTGGGGTGGTTGATGGTGAGAAAGTGGTAGAGTCAGTAGACTAACTTGAATTTTCAAACAAGGAAAATGTTTTTCCATTATATAAATAATGTATTGTCTTTACAGAAAATTTGAAAATACAGAAATTAGAAAATGGAAAGGGAGAAAAAAATGCAGTACCACCACCCAAACATAATCAGTGTTTATATTTGCTGTGTTTCTGTCTTCTAGTCATTTTTTTGGTGGGGAGGATATGTTCTCTGTTTTTGCTTTCTTACATAGTTGTGATTATTCCATGAATATATATTTTTTTAACCAGATAACATTATTACTTAAACATTTCCCATTTTGTTACATAGCCTTTGTAAAAATTTAATGGCTGCAAAATATTTTGTCGAGTGATTGCATTACAGTATCTTAACCAGTCTTCTGTTTTGAACATTTAGGTGATTGCCCCCCCCCCCCACTTTTTTGCTATTATAAATAATGCTATGTTACACATATTTTTAAATAAAGCTTTTTCCCCTATATTTTGGATTCTTACGTTAGAATAGAATCCAGAAGTGGAGTACTTTATCAAAAACTGTTGATACATACTGCCAAGTGAATAAGCATTGAATCTTGTATTTTCCTTCCACATGACTACTTTCTCTCTTCCTTCAGTAATAGACTGGAATGATGTTAGGAAACACAAATATGGTCACCTATCAGAATCTACATCCCAATATCAAGGTAAGAAAAATACTGTTTAGCATGGAAAATCTTTATTTGACATTCTTTATCATAAAACTTTTGTTTTTAGAGGTTTCTAAATTGGAATCAACTCGCCAGCAAAGGTTTGGTTTTTTTGCTTTGTTTTAATTGTGCAAATAACTCACTGACTAAAGCAAAAGCAAATATTACTGTTTATAGAGGTATCTACAAAAGCAATGTGTTTTGTTTTGGGCTGGAAATCAGGAAACCTAGATTCTGAGTGTAGATAATCCCAAATTAGCGTCATAGCTTTAGGCATAGTTCCTTAGCCTCTCTACATTTGCATAGTGTTTAGGCTACAGAGTAAAGCAGAATTAGGTGGTACACTTCCACAACTACTACTAATAAACCCAAACCCAAAAGCCAAACCGGTTGCCATTGAGTCAATTGCAACTCATAGCAACCCTATAGGATAGAGTACAACTGCCGCATGGGGTTTCCAAGGAGCTGCTGGTAGGTTTGAACTGCGGACCTTTTGGTTAGCAGCCGAGCTCACTTACATTTAAAATGAAGAGAACTGGACTAAACCGACTCTCAAGCCTCCATCTTATCCCAGAATTTCACCTTTCTATCATTTTGGTATGTTTGTCATGATGACTTACGCTAAACATTTTTTTCTTTAATAGAAGCTGCTGACATTCTGGAGCTAGGTAAGATACTTTTCTCGAGTTTTCTGTTACATAAGGGAATCACTAAACCAGGGGTTAGATTATATCAACTAGAGAAAATTCTATGTGTTTCTGTTTTATAAACTAATGAATCCTGTGCTTTTGTCTGCCTAATGAGCCCATGGAATTAATCTTAGCTGTCACTTCAGGTCCTCCTTATGTGGAGACCACAGACCAGCAAACAAAAAGAAAGGGGTGCTAATTACGTAGAGTACAGGGAGGAATGGGAGCTGAACCAAACTATGGAAGTAGCCTCTTGTTTCACTGCAGCCAAAGCTAACACAAACCCCCATTGTCCATAAATCAGAATTTGGTGGAATTTTCCCAAAAGAAATTATTCATGAGATAATTTGAATTGAAATTAAACCTGAATATTTTCTGAATTTAATAGCTGAAGAAAAACTGAAATATTAAAATATTATCAAGTAAACAAGAATCAGAATGATACTGCCTTTGGTTTCATCCTTGCTTAGTATACTTCATGACTAGGATTTTAGGACTAAAACTAATGTTAATGATATTTCTCATCAGTCTTAAACCTCTTACGTCATTTAAACTCCTTCTCCATGTTACATAAATATTGGTATCTTGATGTTTTTATCGGTTTTTGTTCAAGTATTTTATATATTTTGTTACTGCAACTTCGTGTATCCAGCTCTATTATTATCATTGTTTATTTGCTTCCTCTTGCCTTTTCTTCCAATTACATATTTCTGTCTATTGCCTACTGACAGTGATAGAAAATAACAAAGTAGTAGAACACTGGACTAGAAGTCAGAACTCCTGGGTTTTTTGAGAGCCAACTCTGCCACTCAGTAACTTTGTAACTCTGATCCTTAGTTTCCTGATTTATAAGCTGGGGATAATAATCCCATTCTTCCTACTTCATATGGTTGTTAAAAAGATTACATGAGCTAGTGGACGTGAAAACATCTTATAAACTCTCAAATACTTTTCAACTTTGGAGGATTGTTATGATTTTCATTCTGTTCAGCAACTGTACTCAGAGCTTACTCTTGAGTCAAATCTTGTGACATTCTTTGAAGTGACACATTATATGAATGTGAGCTGAAGAAAAGAATGAAATAATGCAGATAAAGTGCCTGGCATTTGGTAAACAATAAGCAATAGTCATTTTTTGTTATTTCTTAAGACTTGACTCAAATGTTCTAAGGTAATAGTGTGTGGTGGAAAAAAGCATGGATATAGGAATCAGACAGGCCTTGGTTCAAATTCCTATTCCCTCACTTACCAGTTTTATGACTTTAGGTAGTCTACTTAATCTTTTCGAGCCTATTTCCTCATTTGTAAAAAAGAAATGAAAGCTGCTGTGCAAGTTATTATGAACATTGGAGATAATGAACGTAGTCTGGCACAGTGCAGGCAAATAGAAGGCACAAATGATTGTCGCTGCTGTATTTGATTTTGTTAGTAATATGAATGATAAACCACCACTTGTCTGTTACTTTGTTGTATTGTGGTGGCTTAAATGTTGCTGTGTTCCTGGAAGCTATGCAACCGGTATTTCAAATACCAGCAGGGTTATCCATGGTAGACAGGTTTCAGCAGAGCTTCCAGACTAAGACAGACTAGAAAGAAGGACCTGACAGTCTACTTCTAAAAAAAATGGGCAGTGCAAACCTTATGAATAGCAAAGGAACATTGTCTGATATAGTGCCAGAACATGAGCCCCTCAGGTTAGAAGGCCTTAATGATGTGGATGGAGTAGGCTTTCAGGACCTTCATTTGCTGATGTGGCACGACTCAAACTGAGAAGAAATAGCTGCAAATAGCCATTAACACAAAACACAGAATGTACAAAGTATGAATCTATGAAAATTGTCAAAAATTAACTGGAATGCTTGAAGATAGATATCCTAGGCATTAGTGAGCTGAAATGGACTGGTACTGATAATTTTGAATCAGGCAGTCGTAAGGTCTGCTATGCCAGGAATGACAAATTGAAGAGGAATGATGTCACATTCATCATCAACAAGAACATTTCAAGGTCTATCCTGAAGTACAGCGCCATCAGTGATAGAATAATATCCATACGCCTACAAGGAAGACCAGTTAATACAACTATTATTCAAATTTACACACCAACCACTAAGGCCAAAGATGAGAAAATTGAAGATTTTTACCAACTTCTGCAGTCTGAAATTGATCAGACATGCAATCAGGATGCATTGATAATTACTGGTGATTAGAATGTGAAAATTGGAAACAAAGAAGAATGATCAGTACTTGGGAAATATGGCCTGGTGATAAAACAACATCAGAGATCACATAATAGAATTTTGCAAGACCAACGACCTATTCATTGGAAATACCTTTTTTCAACAACGTAAATGGTGGCTATACACATGGACCTTGCCAGATAGAATACACATCCGAGGAAACAGACGATGGAAAAGCTCAATATCATCAGTTAGAACAAGGCCAGGGGCCAAGTGCGGAACAGACCATCAATTGCTCATATAAAAGTGCAAGTTGAAGTTGAAGAAAATTAGAACAAGTCCACGAAAGCCGAAGTGCAATGTTGAGTATATCCCCCCTGAATTTAGAGACTATCTCAAGAATAGATTTGATGTGTTGAACACTAATGACCAAAAACCAGTCGAGTTGTGAAATGACATCAAGGACATCATACATGAAGAAAGCAAGAGGTCATTAAAAAGTCAGGAAAGAAAGAAAAGACCAAAATGGATGTCAGAAGAGACTCTGAAACTTGCTCTTAAACGTAGAGTAGCTAAAGCAAATGGAAGAAATGATGAAGTAAAAGTGCTAAACAGAAGATCTGAAAGGGTGACTTGAAAAGAAAGAGTAAAGTATTATAATGAAATGTGCAAAGACTTGGAGTTAGAAAACCAAAAGGGAAGAACACGCTCGGCACTTCTTAAGCTGAAAGAACTGAAGAAAAAATTCAAGCCTCAAGTTGTAATATTAAAGGATTCTATGGACAAAATATTGAATGATGCAGGAAACATCAAAAGAAAATAGAAGGAATACACAGAGTCATTGTACCAAAAACAATTGGTCAACGTTCAACCATTTCAGGAGGAAGCATATAATCAAGAACTGATGGCATTGAGGGAAGAACTCCAAGCTGCACTGAAGGCATTGGAGAAAAACAAGTCTCCAGGAAATGACAAATACAAATTGAGATGTTTCAACGAATGGATGCGATGCTGGAAGTGCTCACTTGTCTATGCTAAGAAATTTGGAAGACAGCTACACGGCCAACTGACTGGAAGAGATCCATATATGTGCCCATTCCAAAGAAAGGCGATCCAACAGAATGCAGAAATTATCGAACAATATTATTAATGTCACACACAAATAAAATTTTACTGAAGATAATACAAAAACAGTTGCAGCAGTACATCGACAGGGAACTGCCAGAAGTTCAGGCTGGATTCAGAAGGGGACGTGGAACCAGGGATATCATTGCTGATGTCAGATGGATCTTGGCTGAAAGCACAGAATACCAGAAAGATGTTTACCTGTGGTTTATTGACTATGCAAAGGCATTTGATTGTGTGAAACAGAACAGATTATGGATAACATTGCGAACAATGGGAATTCCAGAACACGTCATTGTGTTCATGAGGAGCCTGTACATAGACCAAGAGGCAGTCTTTCTAACAGAAACAAGGAGATACTGCTTGGTTTAAAACCAGAAAAGGTGTGCATCATGGTTGTATCCTTTCACCAGACTATATGAAGAAGAACGCGGCATCAGGATTGGAGAAATAATCATAAACAGCCTGCGATGTACAGATGACACAACCTTGCTTGCTGAAAGTGAAGAGGACTTGAAGCACTTACTGATGAAGATCAAAGACTCCAGCCTTTAGTATGGATTACACCTTAACATATAGAAAACAAAAATCCTCACAACTTGACCAGTAAGCAACACCTTGATAAACAGAGAAAAGATTGAAGTTGTCAAGGATTTCATTTTATTTGGATCCACAATCAATGCCAATGGGCGCAGCAGTCAAGAAATCAATCATTGTATTGCATTGGGCAAATCTGCCGCAAAAGACCTCTTTAAAGTGTTAAAGAGTAAAGGTGTCACTTTGAGAACTAAGGTGAGCCCCACCCATGCCTCTTATGTGTGTGAAAGCTGAACAGTGAGTAAGAGGACCAAAGTAGATTGATACCTTTGAATTATGGTGTTGGTAAAGAATATTGAATATACTATGAACTGCCAAAAGAATGAACAAGTCTGTCTTGGAAGAAGTACAGCCAGAATGCTGTTTAGAATCAAGGCTGGCGAAACTTCATCTCAGGTACTTTGGACATGTTATCAGGAGGGACCAGTCCCTGGAGATGGACATCATGCTTGGTAAAACAGAGGGTCAGTGAAAAAAGAGGAAGACCCTCAAGGAGATGGATTGACACAGTGGCTGCCACAATGTGCTCAAACTGTGAGGATGGCACAGGACCGGACAGTGTTTTGCTTTGTTTTACATAGAGTCACTATGGGTTGGAAGGGACTCGATGGCACCTAACAACAGTTAATGATAATAACAATTATAATTCAGTGACAACTTATGCATGTTTTAAACAACCTATTTGTTGACAGAAGATTGTGAAAAGGCTTCATAATCAGTGGATACTCAATTTAAAGTACGTCAGTTTTTAAGTGATGTTGAAATTTGAAAGCATTTTTTTCTCGTGAGAGTGGAAGTAGCATAGCCAGACATCCTGATAAGTTAATCCTGCATATTTCATTTCTCCTGTTGAACATAGAGAGCAGCCCCAAGTATCACACTGAAATAAAATAAGTAAATTTGCCGAATCTCAGAGTTGTAAGAAACCCTTAAAAATAATCTAATCTCGCCTACCCTCTGACATTTTTAATTTCTTATAAAACATCTCATCAGAAGGTTATCCATTTTCTTCTTGAACTCCTCAAGTTGTTGGGAACCTACAACCTGCTCAGGCAACTCACTTCATATTGAGACAGATAT